TGAAAGATAGCAATTGAACTGTCAGAGCAGAAAAAATGTATCTGGATCCTTTGGGGTTACTTATAAATGAAGGGAAAGACATAGTCCCTGTCTTCAAAGAATGTATAAATTATTAGGAGGAGAGAGAGGTTTAGGAATTAACAGCACAATAACATTTATAAACAACGTTTCATGCTAGCAAGAGAAAACTTAATAGTTAATATGAGAAACATATCTGAAGATATCTGTGGTGTGCAGGAAAGTAGCTCATTTCTAAAACAGCGAAGCGGCACAAACAAAGGCTTACAAGCTGGGGCTAATGAGCCTTGTAGAGTTCACCATGAGCAAGTTTGTTTGATTAGAACGAAGAAAAGCCAGGGTCTGTGTGGGCCCCAGGCCTGGCTGGTCCCAGGTCTGGCTGTGTTCCAGCCTTGCAGCTAGGAATGGGACCCCAGCTTTAGAATGTTACATTAGTGTAGTAATTCTTCTGACACAATCGACTCCTCCATAGCTTCGTGTGGGCTCCAGGCCTGGCTGGTCCCAGGTCTGGCTGTGATCCAGGCTTGCAGCTAGCAATAGGATCCTGGATTTAGAATGTTACATTAATGTAGTAGGGCGCCGGAGCCCAGCTCGTGTAAGCATGATTCAGCTTATTGTATCACGCATGTGTGGCAGAATGCCACTATTGTTCTCTGACATAAAGCCCATGCAGTCCCCTAGCGCAGAGGTACGCTCCCCCCACAATAAAGTTGGTGCCTACTGTTTGTTTCATTCTCATGTCAGCCCATTGTGCGTTCTTTCAACTGGGCGTCTCACCACCGAAACCTTCCCTTCATGATCAGCTCGGCACTGACACGTGGTGTAGTCGGCGGGGTGAGGTGTGTACAGCCCCCAGCACACCGGATGGTCCCAGGGTGGAGGACGTGTGGCTCTCTGCCTCCTAGTGGTATCCTATGGCCTTGCATCTCGCCATGTGGATGTCCAGAGAGGATTGGGATGCGATGAAGCTGTATCCGGAAGACGTCCGGAAAGCCCTGGAGATGCTGGAGCCAAATATCCCAACCGCTCACTGGAGGCAGCGGGTCAGGGGACCTGGATGTTCCTGGTGGTGCTGCGGCAGGCCAGCCTGGAAGTTCAGGACCAGGCTCAGCAGGTGCAGCAACTGCAACGCCAGGAAGAAGCACTGGAAAGGCGGTTGGCTGCAGCGGAACGCATGCTGCAGGGTCCTGTTGGGTCACTGCCATCAACCCAGTCTGGGAGCCCGCCATTGATACGTGACAGGCGCAGCCCTGCTGATACGGCAGCAGGTTGAAGTGGAACAGCCTTTGGCCCTGGGGATGGGGAGAGCAAGCTGGTGCCACACCCTAGGCTAAAAAGCATATCACCTTGATCCAGTACACCCCCGCCAAACTCCAGGACCTGACGAAACAGGTACGGCAGAGAGCCAGGGAGACAGTTCCAGGGTGGCTGCTGCAGCTGTGGGATGATGGGGCCAAAGGGACTGAATTATCTCCGGAAGAGATAGCTCAGCTACTCTCCATAACAGTGATGCCATTCCTCCGGCAGCGCCTCCAGAATGTGGCGCCTCCGGCATGGGGTGCAGGCAATCACTCCCTCATTAACTGGCTCATGTCTGCTGCACTGACAGTGTGGGCCGACCCTGGGGAGCTGCCAGAGACAGTGAGCAGATGGACCACGTGCTTAGGTCTGGTTCAGATAATTCGAGAAATGGGCATGCGACAGATGATGTTTCGCACCCAGTACACTAGTCCCGATGAAGAGGTATTTACAACCTGTATGAAGGACTTGATCTTGACCTCTGGCCCCGTGGCAGCACTGCTGGCCCCTTATGTGGATAGGTGGATCCACGAGGAGACATCCGCCATGGCTAGGCTGGGGGATGTGGAAGCGAGATGCAGTGAGCATTCCACCCAAGTGCGTGCTGTACCACCCGCTGCACTCCCAGACCGGCCAGTACACAGACGGAGGCATGGCTGAAAACGAGGAGCAGAGCAGCCCCCAGCCAGTTGGGCTATGAGAGTGAGCAGCAGGCAGATGTCATTTGAGCTCCTTGTGGCAGGGGTCAGTGTAGAAAAGATTGAGCAGCAGCAACCTAATGAAGTGCTGCTGGTGCTGTGGAGGCAACTGCGCCCGGACCAGCAATTCACCCTTATTCCCAGGAAATCCACAACCCGTGTGGTGCAGCTGGCCGATTATCTCGCTGTAGGGATTCGGCAGGAACATCCAGTTGGCAGGGGAGCCAGCCGACCTGAGACTGCGGAAGCTGAATAAGGTTACGCTGCCCCTGCATACTGCTGTGCCAAACCTCGCGGACATCATGGACTGGTTGTAGCATGAACTTGGACAATACCATTATGTGGTGGATTTGGCAAATGACTTTTTCTCTATTGCCATAGCCCCCAAAAGTCAAGAACAGTTTGCCTTCATCTGAGAAGGGCGACAGTGGACATTCCTCGTCCTTCCCCAGGGCTATCTGCACAGCCCTACCCTGTGCCATGGTCTCGTGGCTCTTGGGAATATAGCCATGTGGAAACGACCGCCCGCAGTGCACTTGTATCATTACATCGAGGATATAATGCTAACCTCTGATTCTCTTAGAGCTAGAAGCAGCAGTGACCAGCTTGCGAGAAGCTCTCGCCGACTGGGGTTAGGCAGTCAACAAGGACAAAGTCCAGGGACCTGGGTTCTCTGTCAAATTCTTGGGAGTTGTCTGGTCAGGTAAGACAAAAGTAATGCCGGAGGTGGTGATTGATAAGATACAGGCATATCCCCGGCCCGAAAAAGTGGAGCAGTTCCAAACCTATTTGGGACTGCTGGGTTTGGAGAGTGTTCATCCCCCATTTGGCCTCCTCGATGCGACCCCTGCCCTGTCTAGTGCGATAGGGTGCGCAGTGGGATTGGACTCCCAAGATAGAAGAGGCCTTTAAGGCTACAGAGCAAGCTGTAGCACAAGCCCAAACTCCACGTGTAATAGATCCAGCCCTCCTATTCCTGCATACGATGCCGGTGGATGATGCAGGGTTTGGGTGGGGCTTGTGGCAGAAGCATGGTTCCTGGAAGGTGAAAATAGGCTTCTGGTTCCAGTTATGGAAAGGCATGGGAGTGCAGTATTCTGAAAGAGAAACAACTGGCTGCCGTATATGCAGCCCTTCTGGCCAGTGAAGCCATCACTGGCCCTAATCTCATAACTGTGCAGTCCACATACCCCATGGAGGGGTAGCTGTGGTCCTGGGTGAAGACTCCCCATATGAGAATTGCACAGACCCCTACACTGACCTATTGTGGGGGCGCGTACCTGGAGCAGCAGGCACAGTACTCTGTGAATCCCATGTCCGGTCAACTGCACCCCCTATTGGGACGAGTGCAGTTTCAAGCAAAGCTCCTGGTGGAGCCTGCTGAGACGGGAGACATACCAAGTCCCTGTGTAGAGGGTCGGGCTCCCATCCCTGAGGGTGCCTGGTACACAGATGGTTTGTACCATGGAACAGGTAGTGAAATGATGGGGGCACAAGCACAAGTTGCCGTGTCACAATGCCCCTGGTGTGCTGAGCAGCACCCAGAGAGATGACGGGTAAAAAGTACCCCAGGGGTGATGCCCCGCGGGGCTAAGCCACTCCAAGAATGGCAAGTGGATTGTAGGCCCAAGGTAGCGCCCTCTGGGCCAGATCCTGCACCACAACCCTGTAGGGGTAGAGCGTGGGCTCTGGGCCTGGCTGGTCCCAGGTCTGGCTATGATCGCGGCTAGGAATAGGGCCCCAGATTTAGAATGTTACATTAGTGTAGCAGGGTGCCTGCGCCCAGCTTATGTAAGCATGATTACATTTATATTTATCACGCATGTGTGGCACAATGCCACTATTGTTCTCTGATATATATAAAGCCCATGTGGTCCCCTAGTGCAGAAGCGCACACTCCTCGCAATAAAGTTGGTGCCTGCCATTTCATTCTCACGTCGGCCCCTCGTGTGTTCTTTCAACTGGGTGTCTCACCACCGAAACCTTCCCTTCTTGATCAGCTCGGCGCTGACAGCCTGTTAGGAGGAAATGTTGGCACACATTTCCCACAGTGCCAGGCATCATGCCCTGTGCTGCACACACATTTTTTAGTGCCCACGTTTTGTATGTAAGGTAGGCAGAATTAGGCTCAGATAGATTAAATATTTGATTAAAGTTTTGCAGTAGTCAGTGATATACCAACCCAGGACTGTTTTAACAGCTTGCCCCATGTATTTGCCTACTTTATGACCATCGAACACAAGCACATAATGCCGACATACCTCCCATGACAGATTAAATTTGAAAGTAAATTAGGGGAAAAAGGTTTTCTTTTAAATAAAGACCATGACATCAAAACTTTTACTGATAAGCTTTGTTATAGGATGTAACTGAATTACAGTTATCATCCAGAGAGTTGAGTTAGTTATCTAGACCAAGGGAAATCTCTACTCAGTGGGTCTGGGATGGAGTCTTGGCTTCTATGGTTTAAGTCCCCCAGGTGATTCTGATGTGCAGACAAATTTGAAAACTGCTGATTGAGATTTTGTCTGTCAGGCAAGAGTGACTTGGCCCAGGGTTGCCATTACAACAGGAATGGGCACGTTCTTTTTCATCCACATTCAATTCTTCCCTCAACAGGTATTTTTACTTATTATGTGCCACACCATGCTGGGACTCAGATCAAATTCATTATGAAATGTAGCATTATTACAAATCAGGGAATGGTGGTCAAAAATTAGAAATGTGAATGTGAGGTTTTCAGGGCTCAGACATGGTGGTGGGGCATAAAAATCTGAATTGTTTAGTGTTAGGCTGAAAAAAATAACTATCTTTTTTTTTTTTCCATTATTGTACATTCCTACTGATGTACTTATTCAGTTTTAAATTTCAGTGTTTATTCTGAAGATGATGTATGCCCATGTGGTGACTGTGGTTGAAGAGAAATTGGAAAAGCAGACTTTGTGATAAGACGACAGGTAAATCTGGTACAAGTAAAATAGAAGATTCAAATTTATTATATCTTAAGAGGCATTATGGGCTGGAACTAGTCTCAAAAGAGTTTATGCATTTATTCAACAAACATTTATTGAGCATGCTAGGTGCTGGGAATGTGATCGTGAGCAGACACAGAATAGTGAGCTCTTGCCCTCAGAGAGCTTATACTCGATGTAGGATACAGTGGGTTACACTGGGAACTAATATGAAGGAAAAGTACTCTCGGGTGGAATAGGTGGGAGAAATGATATGAGACCCACAGGAGGAGCAGTTACAACTTAACATGCTGTGCAAAGGCCCTGGGGCTAGGAGCACCTGGTGTGTTACTGGCATCAGCTTAGATCACTGGAGTGGGGGAGGGGTAGAAGGCAGTATGCCAGCAGGAAACCACCAAAAGACTTTTTAATACAGAGGGTGAGTGAGATGGGAGGCATGATCCAATTTACTCAAGTAGAATCTGAGAAACATTTTATCAGGAGAGGTAGAAGTGAGATAAGAGGGAGGCAGGAAACATCCACTTAGGCACGAAAAGGGAAGAGCTGGTGAGGATTGAAGTCTGCAGACCAGAGAAACACGAGGGGCTTGTCCTAATGATGTGTGGCTTTCACAGGCGGTCTCCAGTTTTCAGCCTGCTTGGGACTATGCCGATTCCTGGCTTAGGAAATGGTAATTCTTAAGAAGATAGAGAAGACACTGAAGTAGAACTTGAACTAAGGTCTCTATTTTCTTGAACAGAGCACAAGGTTTGCTTCAAGTCCTGAAGTAGCTCAATCTCTTCCTTCATCTGCTGCCGCTTTTCTTCAAATTGATGAATTTTATTCTCTAATGCTAGGAGAAGAAATAAAATGATTTCAGGTAATTCAGCAGTTTTATAAATAATGTACTATTTATAGCCCCTTTCATTTGCAAGTGCATTGTATACAGTGCTGTGCCCCAAATGGAAAGAATCTAGGGTCTTGTGAGAGGGAACTGGTTCTTTCATGCCTTTGCTTCCTCTTCTAATTCAGGATAGAATTCTATCTAGTATTTATTGCACATAAAGCTGGTCAGTAAATCTTTAAAATTTTGTACACATTTATAGGAGAAAAAGTCCCTTTTTGTATCTTAGAAAACTCAAAAGCAGTGACTGTATAACTTTCATGCTACATTATATTTGTTGAGAGATGACTGGAGACAACATGTGGTCAGGGCAAATCTTTCATAAAAAGTCATCCAATTTTTAATGTTACCTAAAAGCTTTTGATTTTATTTAGAAATAAGAAGGCTTTTATTGTAGAAACTTAGGAGGAAGATACTTTAGTTAGGCTTTATAAATTACAGTATTAGTGGCAATGTCATTTTTTAAAAACCTCAAAATTGAAGAATATTAAAATATACATAATCTTTCTTTAGAATACTTGTATACCTGTAGTTAACTTTCTGGAACATTAGAAAGGCTAAATTTAGCAAGAGAGTCTTTATCAGTTGGAGTGTCAAAAGTTAAGCCTTTTTAAGTTTTCATGAGATTCCAAATACTGTCTCCTCCTGTTGTCCTGCCTCCCCAAGTACTACACTGTAACCCAGATACTCCCATTCACTCATCCAGGTAGTGATGTATGACACGTTCCAAACATGTAACTTTTACATAAAAGAAAAATACAGATGAAAGTCTCCTACAAAAAAAGCTTTTTAGAAAAAAAGATTTTAAAGGCTGATTTTTGAAAAACGCAGATATTCCCAATAGCAGTAGGGAGACATTCTCAAGAGCCATAAAAGATACACTATTTTTGGTAGATTAAAAAATTTTTTTTCTGCCGATTATAAATGTAATACAAAATTCAAATAGAAATGTGTAATATAAAAACAAAAATGAAGAAAGCTTGTGTATATTGAGACAGGGATATGAACTAATAGTTTCTCCACAGGGAAAACCTATTGTCTACAATTTCCTGGACAACTATGTCCATGGAAAAGGACAGCGTGTAGGGCGCTGTGTCTATGCAACTTCAGGGGAGCCATCTGCACCAAACTCTGTGTGAGTCTGTGGACCCCGCTCCTGCTGGGATGTGCAATATGCAGCCTGGCCAGCGGTATGTGCGGCAGCCTTGATGGAGAAGTCGGATCAGACTCACAAGTAAGTAGAAATGTAGCCTGTTCTGAAGGCATCTGACACAATGGTGAAAGGAAGGACCTACTCAATAAATGGTTAACATTTTATAGAAAGGTTAAGTCTCTGCCCCAACCAGATTTTCTTCTTTTTCAAAAATTTCTTGGAAAAAAAATTTCTTGGCTATTTTTGCTCATTTTTCTCCATCAGTGACAATCCTCCCTCTGATTAGATCTGAAGATTAATGTTGGGAGAACTGAAATTAGCATACATCATAATGAGAGGGAGGCAAGCAGTGTGGTCTATCACAGCCTGGCCTCCTGAGCAGAGGCCAAAGGAAGCCTCATGTTCCAAGTACGCTCCCATTTTGCACTCAGTTTTGTGTTGTTTCTACACAAAGTATTATGTGTGTGGAAAATATAATGTAGCACTAAAGACAAAGGAAATCACTGTAATTCAGCGACTTCTAGACAGTACTGTTTCCGACTGGGTGCAGTTGTCCTGTGCACATGTGTGCCTCTGTGTATTTATGTATTTTTGACTGTATGTGTAAAGGGTCATACTATTTTGTAGTGGGCTTTTTCATTTAACAAAACAATGGACATTCTTCAATATGATTTTTATCACTGGATAGTATCATTTTAATATATAATAAATATTTATAAACTTTGCTGCTTCGTTGTAACTCATATACCTGCTTGAAAATTTACAAATGTGTCTTCAAACAATCTACAGTCAAAAAGTGAAGTCCCAATTTCTTCATAGTCTGGAGGGAGAAAAACATTTTCAGTTTTAATTTAATTTATATAGATAGAAACACCTCACAAAATAACCCAAAATAAGGAAGAGTGAACAGAGCACTCATCTGCTGTAGAACTTTAGTGTTAGACTCTGCAGCTGCAGCAGCCTCACCTGGGAACTTGTTAGAAATGCAAATTCTTGGCACCTCTACTGAATCAGAACCTCCAGGGGTGAGGCCCAGCTATCTGTGATTTAACAAGCCCTCCAGGTGATTCTGAGGGGCATGCTCAAGTTTGAGAAGTGGTTGGTCTAGACAAAAGAATAAACAAATAAAAGAATGCAATGAATGAGCTTTTGGAAATGTTTGCTCTTAATTTCATTTTTTTGGTTTTGTCCCATAGAAAACAATCCTTTAAAAATAACCATATATTTTATATTGTTGCCTAAAGTATAGACTGTCAAGCTTTTCCTTGTAAAATAGCTATATTTATAATAAAGGTTTTAAGCTCATAGGGTAGGTTATAAGAAGGCTAAGTGGCTATATACCTGTGCACATGAATGGGACTTCAGGTTCCCAAAGAACTAATGAAAGGTAACATTTAACTAAGCCAAATATCAATCAGAACATTAAAAAAATCTTCTATACTTTAAACTTCAACAATACAAAAAAAGACACTTGGTTCATTAAGGAAGAGAATTTTAGTTAAATCAAAATTAACATAATGCTCATTCTCAAATCTTAGCAACAAGTATGCTTGGCTGTGGGGGCGGGGGTGGGGAGTGTGTAATGAATATGAGACTAAATCTGGTTTTGACCGTCTCTTGCTGGTCACTCTCAGTTATGCACCTCTGGAAAACACAAGAAGACCTTGAGGGCATCAGGGTACTTTTACAAAATTAATGAGTTTGTGAATTACCCACGTAGTGTTTTTTTAAAGACAGAGATCTGGAACAATAGATTTTATTTTTTAAAAAAATGAGATAAATAAGGAAAAGAAAAAAGATCACAGAAAGAAAAAGTATAATTTTTTTTTGGTTTTGTTTTACATGTAGGCCAATAAAAAGTCTCTGTATGTAGAAATTTTGCTATTTTAGTACCTGATTCTGAGGTAGTCTCATCCATGAGTCTTTCCTGAATCAAATGAAGTTTGTCTAATATTTCTTCAAATAAATCATTAAGAAGTCCCGCTTCCTTACATTTCTTAAGAAAAGCAACTTTCACAATTGCATCTAAGAATAAGAAAAACATTTTAGAAGGAAATGATCTTAGGGCAGCTTTCATAAAGCACTTTATGTTCATTTCATTAGGCCTTGCCTACTGGTGGATGAGCATATTAGTTAATACATACAGTACCTTCAGCTTTTCTATTAATTGTAATTTCATCATAACTCATATTTTTTTCTAGGTGAAACAGTGAATTGAATGTTACAAAAAGTAAAACTGAAAAACTGCTTAGAATAATTTTCTAAAATTCTCTATGCATATAATAGCTTCAAATCATTGAAATGACAGCCTCCGTCATTTTTTCTGTCATAGTCACTGTGTGTGGGTATGGAATATCTATCTCCTTGAACAGAAAGCTATAATCTGGCTTCAGCTAGCTGGGGAACAGGGGGATCACAGTGTGTAGAGTAGCACAACAGTGGACTCTGAGCTCAGCGACCCTGGCTTCTACATGTTTTACCTATCTATATCTACTTAACTATCTAATCTATCATTTGTCTGTCTGTCTGCCTGCCTGCCTGCCTGCCTGTCTGCCTGCCTGCCTATCTATCTCTCTCTCTCTCTCTCATTTTCTAAAATTCTCTATGCATATAATAGCTTCAAATCATTGAAATGACAGCCTCCGTCATTTTTTCTGTCATAGTCACTGTGTGTGGGTATGGAATATCTATCTCCTTGAACAGAAAGCTATAATCTGGCTTCAGCTAGCTGGGGAACAGGGGGATCACAGTGTGTAGAGTAGCACAACAGTGGACTCTGAGCTCAGCGACCCTGGCTTCTACATGTTTTACCTATCTATATCTACTTAACTATCTAATCTATCATTTGTCTGTCTGTCTGTCTGTCTGTCTGTCTGTCTATCTATCTATCTATCTAACTATCTATCTAGCAAGGCAACCTTTGGTTGACCTCACAGACTGCAAGGACCTTGTCATCTTACAATCCCTTATTTTTTATTTATTTTTTACACCTACAGCACCTGGTCTTCCTAGGTGGTCTCCCATCCAAGTACTAACCAGGCCCGACCCTGCTTAGCTTCTGAAATCAGACAGGATCGAGCTTGTTCAGGGTGGCATGACCACAGATGAGACCCTGGCTTCTATATAAAGAAGTGTAACCTCTCAATACTGAAGAGTGCTAGACCATCCCAACCTAAGTTATTTTGATCTGCTTGGGTTCTGACAGAATGGATAGTTACGATAAATTTTTTTTTTAATTCTTATAATTAGTTATTACAAATCTAGAAGAATAAAGTGGGATACCAACTTTGAAATACATATGTCATCATTTTTGTAAGTACTATAGATCATATTTGTTACAGACGAAACATAGCAAACCTGTGTGTCTGCCATCCTCTTCCTTCATTTGTTTTATGGGTCTATTTAATGTTATTGGTTTAGATAGCTAGAAGGAGAGAAGAATCAAGATTACTTTACACTGATTTTACTATTGGCATTTAATATCACATAAAATGAAAACCAATCTTTCTGTTGCTTATAATTCAACGATATACCTATGGTGAAAATCATGCCCCATATTCATCTGTATTAAATATATTTTTGTTTTGTGTAACATTAAGAGGTGTGACAAGTACCTCATATAGAAATAGCAAAAGGTGAAGGTTGCTGGCTTATATTAATTTTGCTTTTGTGAAATGATGTGTAAAAAACTGCTACAAATCCCTAAAACATTTTCATATGCTTTATACATATCAGTAATCCAGAAAATTATAAGAGTTATAAATTGGGTCGGGTACAGATCATGCAGCTGAGAAATACTTGGCTAGGTCAGGATGCTGAACTGTACCTCTGCCCATTTGAAGACCCCAAGCACCCTGTGGGCTCAGATTCCTCTCACTAATTTGATACCAGGCGATGTGTTATAGGAGCTGTGGGACTGTCACCTCCTGAATTATGTGCTTGGATACCCAAGACACATCTAACTTTTCTTTAATATTCACTTTATTATGTTTCTATCACCATTTCACCTGAAATTCAGAATAGTTAAAAATGAGGACTTTGTAAGAAGAAATTTAAAGCTATAATAAAATTAAGACAAAATACCTGTTTGGGAATGCCTGTTGAGAGACTTTTCATTCCTCTTCTTTTTCTTTTCACTCGTGAAAAATGAGCTAAAAATATAAATCATGTAGAAACCAGATTTCATAAAGGAAAAGACTGATGCTTGATTAAATAAAATATAAAATTCTTATAATGCCAAAGTTATTACAAAGTCAAAAGATATGGCAAACTTAGACTAAATATTTATAACACAGATAAAAGGCCAGTTTTTAAAATATAAAAAGATCTTATAAATCAATAGGAAAAAAACTGAGTAGAAAAATGGGCAAATGGGGAACCCTCTGAGGAGAGAGTTCATTAAATAAGAAAACAGACTGAGTGACAGGAAAACAAATATAACTGATCAAAAGACAGGAGAATATACTCATTTTCACTCATAAGATAGGCAAAATAATACAGAGATAGAATTTTTCACCTATCAGATTGACAAAGATGAAGGTGCTTAATATATAATGTTTAAAAGGATTTGGGTAATTGTGTGCTGCTGGTTCAGCATCTTTGGAAGATAATTAGCCAGTAGTTATCCAAAGTTTCATTGTTTATACTCTTTGATCCGGCAATCTACTTATACGAAGTTTTCCTAATAGTATAGTTGCATAAAGGCACAAAGTTGAATGGAGAAAAATGTTAACTACAGCATTAAAAGTGATAGAAAAACTGGAAATAACCTAAATGTCCATAATGCAGAGACTAGTTCAATTGTGCTTCAACTACAGGACAGAATAATTTATACAATGGAATATTATACAGCCTTTAAAAGTGAGGTAGAGCCATTTGTATTGATATGGAAGGATCTCTAGAATATATTAAGTAAAAAAAGCAAAGTACAGTAGGAGGTGTGTTTGTATACATAAAAAAATTTTGGAAGACTTCAAAAGAAACAACAATGGTTTCCTCTACAGAGAGGATTCGTTACTGACTGTTATAATCTGTTTCTTAGAACTAATACATTATTGTTATCTTTCCCTGTCAATAAACACTGATTGACAAGTGTTTTTCATAGTATATCCAGATAAGTTAAAAGGGTAACGTTTTCAGCCAAAAAAAAAAAAGTCTAGCCTATGCTATAAACCTGAAATTAATATAATATTGACTATCAACTGTAATTGAAAAATCAAAAAAGAAGAAAAAAAGGTGAAGAAATAAGAGGTTCAAATTTCCAGGTATAAAACACATCATGGGGATGTGGTATATAGCATAGAGAATATAGTCAATAATGTAATAGTGTTGTACGGTGTCAGATGCTTGTTGGACATACTATGTTGATCACTTCTTTAGGTATACAAATGTTGAATAACTATGGTATATACATGAAACAAATACAATATTGTATGTTAGCTATATTTTAGTAAAAATCTTTAAAAAATTCAAAGTTAGAATAAAAGATATTGCACTGGAATAGCATTTAGTTCTGAATAGCTTATTTTATGTGTACCCAATTGTTCCTAAGATGTGTAATTCACATCCCTAGTCCAGCTTCATTAGGACCTAAGCTGTGACAAAGCATACCAAATTCCTACTAGCAACACATATTGCGGAAGAATGTGAATTTAGGATTTCTTATTAGTCTTCCCCCAAAACATCAACTCATTATCAAAAAAAGAGGGCAGTGACTGAAAAGTGAGGGTAATGATATTGTTTAGAGAGTGTTGTTTAACACCACAGAATGCATTTGGCATGACACAGAACTGAGTGTTTTCCAAAGAGGTCCTAAATCCAGTCCACAAGGAGTATTCCAGATTTAGTGCTGGTGAGACACTGCTGTTCCAGCAGAACACGGAGGCTATTCATGAATGAAATGTACATCCTATAACTTCACTTAGTCAGGATCCAATTTCCCTTAATTAGAACTCAAATACTAACAATGTGTTCTTAGGAAAATTTAATTCAAGGACCATGTAGTACTTTTATCAATATCATCCTACTGAGGATGATATTCCTTTAGAAGAGCAGTCTAAAGTCAAAGCTTTTTACCTTGTTTTGATGCAGTCTTCTGACTGTAGTGAGGATGGAAGACATCAGACAAAGGCTTTACTGAGAGTAGGTACAGTTTACAAAGAAAAAAAATTAGTACATTGTATTATATACTGCACTAAGAAACTGATAATCTTATAAGCAAGTAAAATTTTAACTCAGAAATTTGTATTTTAATTGAGTGAGGCTACTAAATCAGGGTATTCTATGTCTGACCTAAATGTTTACCTTTCTTTAAACCCACAAAACTAAATTTTAGAGACTTACCATTTTGAGTTCCTCTTGATGGATCATGTTGTTGGCAAAATACTCTGAAAACATGCAATTTCAGAGAACTGTTAAATATCTTTACTTACACTTTTCAAATATTGTGCCTATTTTCTTGTGATTTAAAAAGGAACTAATCTATTTTTCATGATGGTTTCACCCTAAATATTTATTAAAGAAAAAGTCTGCTTGAGATTTCTCATCAAGATGGTGGAGTAAGTAACCACTGTACACGCCTCCTCCCATAACCACATCAAAACTGCAACTAAATTATAGAACCACCATCCTTGAGAACCACCTGAGGTCTAGCTGAATGGAACTCCTATTAACTAATGATATAAAGAAGCCAAAGTGAGACTGGTAGGAGGGGCAGAGACGAGAAACTAGCTATTCCCACAACCATGTGTGGCGTTTAAGTATGGGGAGGGATATCTTGCCTGCGGAGGTCTCCACTGAGGAGTGAGGGGTCCCAACCCCACTGCAGGCTCCCCAGCCCAGAACACCAGTGCCTAGAAGAGGAGTCCCCACACACCTGGCTGAGAAAAATAGCAGGGACTCGGTCTGGGTGAAACGGAGGGCTGCTGTAGACCCAGGCATTCCTCTTAAAGGGCCCGAGCACAGACTCATTCACAAACATTTGGCTTAAGCTCTAGTGAAGAGACGGCAGCCCCAAAGCTGCCAAGGACATAGAGGGAGGAATTAAATTGTCTGACTTCAGGGTAAGGACTGGAGAGGAAGCGCTCCTGGGACTAGAGTGCCAACAGGAGCCATTGTTCTTTTGTTGAGCCCTCTCCACACCCACTGGCAGGCACCAAATCTGAGTCTCTATGAACCTAGCTAACACCATTGGTTCTGCCCTGGTGACTCCCTGAGATCCCACCCAATCCAATTCACAACCCTCCTCCCAAAATCTTTCAGAGGCTAATGCACAGAAGCTGCTGGCCTGGGCCCACACTACAGATGTTTGTGAAATCTCTCAAAGGTCCACAAACTCCAAACAAGCAGGGCCTGGCCTTGGTGTGCCCAGTACCCTTGGTAAGCCGCTCCAATCTTAGTGCTAGTGGGAGCCAGCCTTGGTTCACAGCATAACCACTCCCAGGTGCTTCCAAGCCCAGCACAGGCAGCTATCAATCATAGATCACTTTGTTGCTCCTACCAGGTGGACCTAGGCCAGATACCAGCAGCAGCTAACCTTTGCCTGCACCAGAGCCCATCCCAAGAGGCCTTAGAACCAACGTACCTGGTGGTCGGCTTCAGAGCACCACCCAGTTAGCACCACAAATGGCACACCCAAAGGATAAACTCATCAGGCACCAGAGCCCTGCTAAAGTGAATCCTGCTCTGTAGGGTCAGCCCCTGCACAACAGCTTGCCCACTGTAGTCACAGTCAGTCCTCAAAGCCTGTCAGCCTGAGAGTCAAACCTGCCCACTGATGTGCAACAGCAATCAAGGCTCAACTAAAACAGGACATCACACAGCCTACACAAGGGATACTCCTGGAGCACCTGGCTCAGGTGAAGAGGGAGACTGTACCACTGGGCCCCACAGGGCATGTACTATATAAGGCCACTCTACCAAGACCGGGAGACAACAGCTCTACCTAATACATAGAAACAAACACAGGGAGGCCGCCAAAATGAGAAGACAAAGAAACATGTCCTAATGAAAGAACAGGACAAAACTCCGGAAAAAGAACAAAATAAAATGAACACGAGCAATCTACCAGATGCAGAGTTTAAAACACTAGTTATAAGGATGCTCAATGAACTTAGAAGAGTAGATGAACTCAGTGAGAACTTTAACAAAGTGATAGGAAAGATAAAAATGAGGATAGAAAACATAAAAAGAACCAGTCAGAAATGAAGACTACAATAACTGAAATGAAGAATACATCAAAGGGAATCAACAGATTAGATGAAGCCGAAGATTGAATCAGCAATTTGGAAGATAAGACAGTAGAAAACACCCAATCAGAACAGCAAACAGAAAAAAAAAACTAAAAACATGAGGACAAGACAACGTCAAATGTACCAACATTCACTTCATAAGGGAGCCAGAAGAAGAGAAAGAGTAAAGAACTGAAAATCTATTGGAAGAAATATTGACTGAAAATTTCCCTAACCTGGTGAAGGAAATAGACATACAAGTCCAGGAGTCACAGAGTCCCAAACAAGATGAATCCAAAAAGGCCCACACCAAGACACATTATAATTAAAATGGCAACGGTTAAAGACAAAGAGGGAATCTTAAAAGCAGCAAGAGAAAAGCAATTAGTTACCTACAAGGGAGCTCCCATAAGACTGGCAGCTGATTTCTCAATAGAAACTTTGAAGGCCAGAAGGGATTGGCATGAAATATTTAAAGTGATGAAAAGCAACTACCAGAAAACAATTAATAAAATGGCAATAACTACATACCTATCAAAAATTACTTTAAATATAAATGGATTAAATGCTCCAATCAAAAGACGAATGGATAAAGAATAGGTGGTACATGTATACAATGGAATATTACCTGGTCGTAAATAAGAATGAAATCTTACCATTCGTGACAACATGTATGGACCTAGAGGATATTATAAAATAAGACAGAGAAATACAAATAACATATGATTTCACTTATATGTGGAATCTAAAACACAAAATAAATGAACAAACAAAACAAAGCAGGGCTGGGTAGAAAGATGAAGGGATTAAGAAGTACAAATTGGCAGTTACAAAATAGTCATGAGGACATAAAGTACAACTTAGTGAATATAATCAATAATATTATAACTGTATATTGTGTCAAGGGTGCAAGACTTATCAGGGAGATCATTTTGTAAGTTATATAAATGTCTCACCACTATGTTGTACACATAAAAATAATATAATGTTGAATGGCAACTGTAGTTGAAAAAGTAAAAACAAATTTTAAAGTTAAGCAAAATAAATAAATTAATAAAAAAAGGAAAAATGCTATTTGAACCTGTATAAGTTAGTGTCCTACAGGAAGAGCAGATGGAGCCTCTGCCAGATATCCTCTGTGCTCTCAGACCTTGGATAGGTCAGTATACTCTCTGAAGGAATGAGTGATCACAAGATATTCCGAATGTCACTAGTTCATACATAATGATCAGTGGGATTTAACTATAAACACACCTAAAGATCTAACATCTAAGATATACAACTTTTTTTCTGACTATGCAAAGTTCTCCTGATTTTCAGTAATAAATAGCACAAAATTACATGCATTAATTTGGGGAAAGTAGCTTTCTAATAGAAGAGGCATCTCTCCCAAATTTTAGTTTTGAACTACATGAGCCTGGAATTGTGCCCTAGATAATAAGAAAGTAACAGCAGACTATGACAAAGAAATGGTGAAATTTAAGGAGCTACTCAGGCCCCATTTTCTTTCCAAACTTTCCTCCTCCTCACCCTTCAGCTACATCTCCTTCCTTTCCTATGTTGCTGACCCCCAGGATGCAGCATCCCCTTGTGTATGGAGATGCATGAATACTTCCCATCTCACACCAATTCCCACCTCCTCTATAAAGTCTTCCCAACAACCCCACCCTTCCCCGAATCAAAATTAATCTCCTCACCCTTTGAGTTCTGGTATCCCAGAGCACTTTAGTCTGCCAGGTACTAAATTTTTTTTATTAAAAAAAATTTCAAACATATATAAAAGTGGGAGAGATATGATGAACCCCCATACTCTCAACCATCATTCAGTTTCAACAACTATCAATTCAAGGCCAAGTCAGTTTCATGTTAATCCCCTCTCGTTCCCATTGTGTCATATGCTCCTATTAGTTTTGACCTTTCTAGTCCTTCCACGATGTGATAAATTCTCTGAGATTTAGTCCATGTCTTGTTCCTCTTTATATTCTAACTGCATCTAGCAAGGTGTCTCATGTATAAGAGGAACTCTGAATGTTTAAATTCAATTTAAAAATGCACACAAGTTCACCCACTACTTGATAAAACAATGACAAAATGATTGTTTTATTGAGTATTCTACTGATGTGTGATCAGTATTTTTTTCAAACTTTAAGTTATAGCTGGAATTTGGAGAAACATGGCACTGTGAGAGACGTCTAGATCTCTCCCCTTGAAAAAATAAGCTGAACATCTAAAACTCAACAAAAAACACCCAAATTGCACACCAGCACATCTGAGCATGGGATCTATGCATGAAAGCCACCACAGGTCAGAACCCTGGATATTGGGGAAATAAAGAAATAAAGAAGCTGCCACTCGCAGCCAGAGCTCCCTAAACAGCCCTGCCTGGGATTGCTGTGAACTCCACGCAGCCAGCAGCAGGGCCCAGTCATCAGGGCAGAAAGCAGAGAAGCAGCGACAGCAGAGATTGATTTTTACCAGTCGTTGCAAAGCCAAGGCTGAGCCACAGCTCCCAACCCCCAACCCAGAGAGCCCTTCCCCATATATCTTCTGAGACAGAACACCACACAGCCCCAGGGGAATCTGAGCAAAAGCTACCAAAACTCGTTAACACTGACAGGGACTGAGAATGAGATAGCGAGCCTAATTAAAAATCTATAAGGGAAAAAAAAGGCATTATTGAGGCTTTATACAAAGCAGAGATCCAAGAGGCTTAGACACCATCTACTAGAAACCAAAAGAAAAACGCCTTATTTACAACAGGCTAAAGAGAGACCTTTATATAATAAATCTTCTTTCTGGGGGGGAAAAAAAAACAACAAAATACATTTCCATGAATGCCCAGGCAGAGAAATAGTCCATTAAACACCATGAACAACCAAGGTGATGAGGCATCTCAGAAAGAAAGAGAAAAATCTCCAGAAAGTAAGCTTACAGACATGGAAACATCTGCCTTAAATGACAGAGAATTCAGGATGGTATTTCTGAAAAAAATTCAGTGAGATCTGAAACGAGTTGTATCAACCATTTCAGAAATTGA